TTATCTTTTATTCGCTGTCCTTGTCTACGTTTGGCAAACTACAAAGGCGGGCGCGAGGCTCGAAAACGTAGTCGCTGATTCTACGAGTGTCAGGTTTAGCTTCCTTGCGGTCTGACACTTGTGGAGAATATACTGTACTGTAAATAAAGAAAAGAATTGAAAAGTATTAGTATATTTTCCTACGTAAAAATACCGATTTTTTCCGTGTAGATGTATCAGTACCTGCTGGCAGATGCTAAATTGAGGCACATGCTTAATTTGAGTCCGCAATGCGGGATTGTTACGTTTCTCACCTGGCTAATGGTGTTGATCGCCGTTTTCTGTGCAATCCTGGTGAGTTGTTCTTCAAGCCATTCTTGCGACAAGGAGCCTTATTACACGGCAATCTGCACCAACCGGAATTTAATACATACAATGGCGCGATATAAAAAAATATATTGGACCGTAAAAGTAAAGAAACACGTTGTACACGATAAAAGCTGTATCAGTTCTAATTTTTAGCACGTTTCAATTTTTACGATCCTATCCGCACAACCATTTTTTAATATCAATTTCAATTTATAGCAACAAATCCTTCACATAATGCATATATCATTTACACCCTTACAGGGTGTATTATAGATTTTTTATAGGTTAAGTTTTCTATGGCCTTGAAACTTATTTTGTTTTTTTGTTTCTTTGAAGGATTTGCTAGTTTCTAATTTTTAGTGAAGGAAAAAGAAGGTTCGAAATTCTTCTTCTCGTAGTTTGAAACATTCGTTTCGGTGAGTTAATATTTGCTGCAGTCCTTTCTAACCTAATAACGCTATTATTTTTCTTTTTTTTTTTTTGAGAATCTTTTAATTTGACAAATTTTTTAAATACATTTTTCTTCAAATTAAGATATCCTTTTAGAGAAAGTTAACTTTTGATGGTAGCGCACTATTCTGCCGAAATAATATTTTATTTGGTAAATGTTTAAGTAAAAATTTTAACGATCTACATCTTTTAGTACAAAAAATTATTAGAAACTTATTATAGATAGAGATCGGTCTGACTTATGCTAATCTGTGCTGAAATAATGCAAGAATCTAAATGGTCGAACAGACTTAATATTTAAACTGGTGAACTTAAAATTTATCTTGATTGAACCATCGAGGTCATAAACATCTTTATTAACGTAATCTCTCGAAAGGTATCACGCTGTTATCTCCGCGACAAATTTTTTTTCTATTATTAGATCACTGAAAATTTCCTAAAATTAAAGTTTATTAAATTTAACAACCCTTTGAGTAAAATATTTTTACTTTTCAAATTACGATATAATTCAAAAAAACCAGAAAATACAAGTATAAAATTCTACAGAGTCTATCGTCCGGTAATAAAAAATTAAGCATTCTAACTTGAAATTGAATTTCATTTAACCCTTTCGCTGCGGCAGATTTTAGTACGTGACGCATGTGGCAGACGGTAGATGTTCAAACGCGGCCGCAATATCTTTCTTTCTGGCGGTTTCAAATTTTTCACAAATTAGAAAACTAAAGTTCCAAATTTAAATTTACGAAAATACGCAGGGAACACGAATCGAGGCTCGTATGCAGGTAAAAGTGTGCCAGAAATCGCCAAAATATTCGAAACGAGAAGCTTTTCGAAGCGCCTATAGTCCCTGATAACAATGAAAGAGTTAATACTATTGAAACAGTATATATTTCATTAATTCATCCATTCAAGACAGTCGATTATGCTACCTTAGTAAACACAGTCGATCATACTGCAATTCCTTTCAAACCTAATTACCTTCCCTGCCTACAGTTCCTTTGCTTTCGAACATTTTCAAGTGTCCAATTTTTCCTCTATTTCTTTTTAATTAGAAATCTTTAAAGTTCCGAAGGTTGTTCGAAAAACGAGAAGAATTTTTCAAACGATCGGGAAGACGTGATAGTTGCAGGGAAGTTAAGATTCCGCGTTGCAGTAACGCGTCTTCCTGGATACTTGGTAATTTAACGCTTCGTTGCTCGGTTAATTGTTCCGTTAATTCGCGGCCGGTTAGTTCGTTGGAACGAACGGAAAGTAGGCAGCTCGATACCAGTTGAAAAAGTATCGCCGATAAGGTGTTTCGCAATTACGATTGCTCGTTTGCATCGTGTCTTTTCTTCCTCCTTTTACTCGCTCCTTCTTCGCAGGGGTGTTCTGATTAGCGGAAGGATCGGAACTTTTTCATCGGGAGTTGAACGGGCGGGAAAGGTTAATTTGATCAGGCACGGAGTTGCCGACACGTCGAGCGTGTTCGGCTTTATTTAGCTAGCTTTCCATCCGCGTCGAAATATTCCTTAGTTACCGAATAATCGCTCGATTTTTCCAATCGCCAAGAATCTGTGTTACTTTATCTTCTTAAGTTTCGCGTGTTGAGAGTGTACTGTTGAACAGGAATTGTATTAATTTTTATTTTCGTTACTAAAGAAGAATTATTTGGCAAGTAATCTGTTTTTATCTTCTTAAGTTTCGCGTATTGAAAGCGCATTGTTGAATAGGAATTATACAGGGTGTCTGTTTTACCTCAATGCAGCGAAATATCTTTCAAGGAAGTGATGTTAGGGAAGAAAATGTTTTAACAAAAGTTGTTTGGTACGGGGAGGAAAATTATGTGTAAATATTGTTTTTGTACCGGGTATGGTGGGGGAGATTTCGAAGTCAGTTTAATTTCTTTAGATGCAACGCTATATTTTTTTATACATAGTATGATAGTGTATGTCAAGACGAGTTTAACGAGTACAATAAGTACCATAAGTATGTTCAATTCTGAATTGTTGAAAACCTCCTTCTATGGGTATCCCCTCCACATGTCCTCCATTATTGTACTCGTTGAACTCGTCTTAACATACACCATCGTATAAAAAAATTAAACTGCCTTTGAAATCTCCCCCACCATACTCGGTACAAAAAAAATATTTACACTACATAATTTTCCTCCCCGTACCGAACAACTTTTGTTAAAACATTTTTTTCGTAACGTCACTTCCTGAAAAGATATTTCGCTGTATTGAGATAAAACAGACACCCTGTATATTATCTCTGGAAGGAATTTTCTATTTCTTTCGAGAGCTTTCGGGAAATTAGTCGAACCGCGGAAGATATATGTATAAACATATTCATTTTTGTTTTTTTTGGACTTTCTGTGCCTGTAAACTGTCTGTTTTTCTCGTTGAAACAAAGTTTTCCGTGTTTCTCACATTTGTGAAGTAACTTGTTACTTTAGAATCTGAAGGAAAAAATGAACTTTTCGTAATAATTCCTGCAAATTTCGAATATTAAAACTGTAACTTGAATACAAGCTCGGCAATTTCGCGAAGACGTACAAATTTCTTCGTACTACCTTTAACGTCGAATTGCAATGTACATTTAATCCAAGCTCGAATTTCAATGCACAACGTGGAGAAATCCTTTGTTCGTTACAATTAACGCGCCTTAACTAATTGTAACACAAGTAATTCCTACAAAACGATCTTCTTCTTTCATATCATGCCCGTTCTGTTATTAAAGTAAAAGTAAAGTAAAGTAAAAAAGGGCTGAAAAAAGAAAACCTCCTCTCGAGGTCCCCTACAAACCTGCAAACTTTCAAAAAAATCGAAATTTTCGGGTTACCGAAGTTCCCTTGTCGGTAAAAAGTCTAACTTAAAGCCACTAGTGTGTCCATAACATTCCCGCTTGTTAAGAGCACTCGTCTATTAACTCGCAATCTCGAAATCACGAAAATAGGGTGCGAAAGCGATGGTTTCGGACGAGAAGGATTTTCTGGAGCTACAAAAGGAGGCGGACAAGGTATCGTTGGCGAAAGATATCTCGAGTTAATCCAAGGCAAAGCACACCAGTAATACGTAATTACGTTTAATTTACAGAAAATCCCGCGGAAGAAAAGCGTGGCGGACATCAGGCCCGTCTACAATTGCATTCATAAGCACGTAAGTTTGTTTCCAGGCTGTGTGCACCACGGCGAAAGTGCATTTCGTTGTTTTGCCTTCGGATAGCTGGAGAGTCTCGGCGTGGCACGTGGGCAACAATACGGTTACAGTAAATGGTAAATTGCTTTCTGATTTCCAGCTGCAGCAGACCGACGTGTTTCAGGAGAAGACGAAGAAAATGGTGGGTTGTGTTTTCGAATAAATTTCTCTCCCTTTACGGCAAAGTTGCACGGCTTAAACTCTCTCTCTCTCCCCCTTCTCTCGTTCTTTCTCTGTTTCGACAGCTCTGCAAGGAACGCCTCGAGTTAGAGATACTGAACAGCAGAATCAACTGCATCAACAAACTGTTAAAGCCTGAGGTAAGTAATTTTCAAAAATGTACAATGTTCGAATATTTCCCTCTTCCCTTCTTTTAATCTCCTGATTTCGAAACAAGGGCTGATCTTCGACGCTAATACGATTTTATTATCTTCTAATATTTCCCTCTTTTCGTCTCTTCCCTTCTTTTCACCCTTTGGCTACGGCAAATTTTAGTACACAACTCGCGTGGCAAATTCAAATATTCCACAACGGCCGCAAACTTTCCTTTTCAACCGTGTCATTTTAAAATTTGTTTCATTGAATTAACGTGGAAGAGTGCAGAGGATCAAATTAACGCTTGAATTGACACAGAAGTGCGCCAAAAGGCTCGATACGGGCAAATTTTCAAAGCGCCTACAGGCGCCAATAGTAGTGGAAGGGTTAATTTTCTGATTTCGAAACGAAGGGTGGTTTTCGACGCTAATACGAGTTTTATTTGCTGGGGTAGTTTTTGGAGAAGTTTGTGTTTGTCAAAATTTGTGTTCGAATTTTTAGAAGAAAATTTATATATTTTGGAAATTATGAAAAAGGCGTAACAAATTTATTATTTTCTTAACCTCGCTGTTTTGATATTAACTTGGTTCGACTTTACGAGAATAGTGTACAATTGAAATGAATTGTAACATTTTATTGTTTATTTTCTTATTTCAGTAAACGATTTTTAATTCGTTTCAATTTTCTAATTTACGATTGTGTCAGTAAGTATTGTCTACTTGAAATTCTTGACTACCCTGTTCTATTTTGTCCATTATTTATCAACATAATTATTAATATTTATAAAAAAAAGAAAGTGCGAATCATTCTCTCCGACCGTTCTGGTAGTTCTCGTATTAAATTTTCACCGTGGATCCTGCAGAAAATTCAAGACCGCCTTGAAGAGATATTAACAATTCAGGGAATATGATAAAAGTCGCGCTACCTGTTCCTCGTGTGCGTGCATATAGTTAATTATATGAAAGATTCAGCGTTTCGTTACTTCGAACCAGTTTAATATTAATGCACTCTATCACTCAAGAGTGTAAAATCGCGTATCTTTTTAATATCGTACGACGCGATATTAAATGGAACGCGGGTAATTTAGTTAATGTTCAATTTCGACGTGTATATTTTCCCTTCGAATGCGAAGTGCTATCGTTGCTTCTGGATAATGGTACAAATAACGTGAACTTAGTTCAAACTTGCGGAACAATCTATTCAGGGAAACGTGGCTTTTTTAAACGAACCTTTAGATATCGAGATTCCGAAAGTAAGATTCACTTTTAGGTTCGAAAAATAATGTATTTAATCGAAACAATTTCCACAGGATTGTGTATACTTTCTTGAAGATCAACTGGTTTCGTTGTTCCGAATATATAAAAATTGTTAGTCTGTTAAATTTAGGTGAGAAAATGACGCCTTATTCGTCACGTCAGATAATAGTTTCCGAACAATTTTATCACGAGTTCTGTTCCTATTCAATACCACGTGTACGACAGGAAATTCCTTCTTCTGGAATGTTGTGCATAAAAGTTCACGATGGGATGAAATTTAATATAGGGTGTCAGTCTGCCAATTTCAGCTGTTAAAAACACGACGTTTCATTTGCACCGGTCCAATAGTTGAGAGAAAATATTAACGTTCGTGTCAGAAAAGTACTCTGACTCGGAGTAGGGTGGGCGTGAAATTAATCGAACGTGTCTACGTTTTTACGATAGTATATGTTACACGAGAATTGTATCCGCGTTATCTGAGCGACGTTCGTAAAAATTGCGCTCCGAGGGTCTCGTGAGTCCGATCCCTGTCCACCCCTACGCGAACAGGCCCAGGGAGAGACCCAAAGGGGCGGAGTCACCCCCACCGAGCACGCTCTGAGCCTGGCTTCACCGTCTTCGGGGCGGATTTTCTCACGTTCGTGTAAAATTTTCACACGTTAGGTATTGACTAACTGAAATTTCGATGAAAAATTTATCACTGATATTTCGACCGAATGAGAGTGAAACAATGCAACAACGTGTTACCAAATGTAACAATATACGAAGATATTTTGTGTATAAACACAGTCGTACAGCGGAGTTCGATAAACCAACATTTGAACGCCAACAATAAAGAGGTTCCGCTTTATGATATAAATATGAAAATATAGAACTCAATTCAAAGGAGGAATATCAATACGGTGATTCTGGCTGAATAGTTAAATCATTGAACGACATTGACGTGTAAAATATTGTTTAAAGCGTTTCAGAAACATTCTATGCAGTCTCTAAACTTTGAACTTTCCGGAATACATCACAGCGTCGTGACTTTCATGTGTATTCAGACTCTGACAAATATATAACAGAGGCCGATTGACCGACACAAAAGTGGAATCAAATTCACCTTGCAACCTGTATCTCGAACTTTTGTTGCCCGCGAGTTTCGTTTTACGATGTGTCTTTCCTGTGAACGCCCGAGCGTGTTACGGCTTTCCCGGGAAATCGTTGATAAAATCGAGCAAACGGAGCAAAAAAAAAAAGGAAAACGCCGAGTGGACCTCTTCACTGCTGGTTTACCATTGCGTACTGCTTCGTTTAACGAAATTCGAACGTGATTGGTTGATGTGCGTGAAACAAGAGCTATTTGAGATATTTTACAGAAAGGAGTAATTGGACTGAATGTGAATTCTGGGTGATTTCGAATTCTAGGTAGTAGTGATAATCAGTCGTTCACTCATCTACTCACCCACTCACTCATTCACTCACCCACTCACTGACACTCATTCACTCATTCAATGACACTCACTCACTCATCTACTCACCCACTTACTCACTCACTCAATGACACTTATTCACTGACACTCACTCACTCATTCAATGACATTCATTCACTCACTCAGTGACACTTATTTACTGACACTCACTCACTCACTCAATGACACTCATTCACTGACACTCATTCACTCACTCAATGACACTTATTCACTGACACTCACTCACTGAAATTCATTCACTTACTCAATGACACTTACTCATCTACTCACGCACTCATTCACTGACATTCATTCACTGACACTCACTCACTGACACTCACTCACACTCTCAATGACACTTATTCACTGACACTCATTCACTCAATGACACTCACTCACTCTTTGTCACTCGTCTCACCGTGTAAAAGGTGTGTATATTTTGTTTCTTAAAAAGTCCGTAACGATTATCTTTGAAATGCTGTCTCGGTATGTTCATAAGATATAATTATTTAAATCAGTTCTGAATCTATTTAAAACGGCGGAAGCATGTAAAATGTATTTTATTTTAAAGTAGGAAAATAACGCACGATTTCATTTGATCTTTTGAATTACTAGCAGTGAAAACGTATAATTTTTCAGATTTTTATATTCAACTTTTCTCCAATCTTTTCGTAATTGCAAATTAGAGTAATACACGTATTTCGTTAAATTTCGCATTTCAACGAATCTTAATTAAATAATTTTCTTTATTCTACGCTAATTTCGTAGGAGATATTCCATCCAACACAGAAAATACACAAATGGATCCTATTATCATTAATTTTATCCCAAAACACCTGTACCTATATACAATAACAATTTTTACTTTTGAAAAAAATCCACGATGAAAAGCTGAAAGTTACATTTATATCCTCAGACAAAAAGAAAAAACTTTTCATTCAACAGTTACCTACGGAGGGAAAGAAAAAGATAAATAAATCCCAAACTTCGCCTATTTCTCGCCGGCTTCACACTGTGGATGTACCCTCTTAAGACGATCCTCGCGAATCTTCTTCCTCGCATTATACTCCGTCGACCGGACAATGGGATTCCCCTTGTACAATTACAGCAGCTTCCGCGTGAGCCGTTCGTCACATTTTTAACAAAGCGATGGCCACGCTAATAGACAGAATATATCACTTAGATAAGACGTAAGACGTTCATTCAGCCGTCGCGTGACAACTTAACTCGCGCTATTCAACGGCGAGAGGGTGATGTCGCGTTAAGCGGAATTCCTCGCAAGAAACGAACACACCAACCCGCCCGCAGTCGTAGCAGCGAGATGGGGTTAGGTGAAAATGTGGGGGAGAGGTAGGGGATGGAAAAAGCGAGAACTCGCAACGTGATAATTCGCGAGGCGTACGAGCTACCTCGAGCTGCTTGAAATTAGATTAAAACAATTAAAAGCTGCCCTCCTTCGGGTTCGTCTGCGACCGAAAAGGGACGAAAGCGATTTTCATCTCGTTAATTAGGACGAACTCGCGGAAATTCGCGCGGTTCCAGATATACATCACGCGAACTTCAAGTATATCTTGCCAGCGGGCGTTAAAAGTGTCTGGAAACTTTTCTGTCCGCGTCAGACTACCACGAAGACGATGACCATAGCGATGCTGTTGATGGTAACACGATGTTGCGTTTATAATTGGGTTTTATGAGGTCCGGAGGAGATAACGAGATGAAGACTTTTATCGGGTACCGTTTTCGAAGATTCTGATTGAACGTCAATACTGAGGAAATATCGGGGATTCTGTTGTTTCTGAAGCTGCGTCCACGCTGTACAGGGTGACTGATCCGCCGGCGATCGGGTCCGGCACGCGTGAGTGCGTACCGGCACGGCATGAGCGAGTGTGCGAGTGTGAGCGAAAAGCGAAGCGTAGAAGAGGCACGCGGGCCTCGGGCCCGGGACAAGAAACCGTAGGGGGGTGTTCTCGAACACCCGGGGTCTGGCAAACCTCCGGTTTCCTGAGCCTCGAACGCACGTTGTGTCCATGACCGGATGAAGTTCCAAAATAAGGTGTAAGGCCTTCTTGCGGAGCGGGGTACCGGTGGGACTGGGCACAGCAACCGGCTACTCTTTAGGAGTGGCAAAAAAGCCAATACCTTCTCTGCTCCTTTTTCCCCAACATCTCCTCGTCCATCCTAACCATTACCTTTCCCTCATAATCCTTCGCCTGTAACAGGGTCAGAGCGCAGTACTTGCGTGCACTGGTGATTCCGCCTTCCCGTGGTTCCCCGCGGATGCGGTGGCAGTCGACGTCGGGGTATTTGCTCGGTTTGACTGACAACGTAACGAAAGGGCTCATCCGCTGAAAACGCTCAGCTGTGTGGCTGGATTTTTCCATCGCCCGATCTCGGGGCGGTGTCTAGCTAGTTGTGTAGATTTTCTGCTGAACGGAGGTATAAGACAAGAGTCCGAGGAACCCCAAAAGTCCTTTTCAGGCCGGCAAACACTATATATGGGCCCGGGACAAGAAGGCAGTTGAAGGTAGCGCACCGAGCTGGCTATGCGACAGAGTACATACTTTTTCCTAACGAATTGATCTCACAATAACTTTGTCCATCTGAAATATTTTCGTTATTTTTAATACTGTGGAACTTGGAATATCCGATGATCTAGTACAGGGGTCGGGAGCCGCATACTTAAATGTTTAATAAAAATCTGCTGTTGCCACCACAGAACCGACAGTTACCTCCCAAAAAGTAACTATAATGCGTCGGTAAAGTAAATGTTTCGACGCGATTCTTAAAATAAAATTGCGGCTCCCTAAATTTTATTTTTCGTACCTTATTTTGTTGAAATGGCTCTTCGGCTCCGAAATGTTCCCTGATCTAGGATCTGAACGTTCTACTGCTTACATGGTTGTAGCTCGTTTACCACGTACAAATCAGATCTTTTCGCTGGACCCTGTCTTATCTGAACAGAGTATCCTCTTGCCTGTGTTGTAAGTAGAAAATCTTGGTCGCGTCTCATATGTGAGTCACTGAAGCCAGAACGATTAACTCGTCGAAGCACACGCTCAGTGCTTAATTTTTCGTAGATGAAACAAATTTGATAAACCTGATTTTATGGAGTTTGTCACTTTGGCTTCTGAGTGGCTCATGTGACACTCCGAATTTTATTCTTTTCTCCTAATGTCAGTTCTTTAATCCTACCACTCGATCAAGGAGTTATTGAATGGTTTCTACTGAAATTCTGTAAGCTAGGCTAATGAAATTAGTGGTGACAAATTAATGAAGAAACACTGGGCAGATGCTGAATCTTTAGATGTGTGTGCAAAGAACATTTGACAGTACTGTGTAATTTTTCTATTATTTTGGTTAGATTAGGTCTCGCTTTTTGTGGTTTTCTTGCAATCTTACTTTCGTGAATTATACTTTCGAATAATCTGATACGAACACACTGACGATTAAATGAAATATTCATTATATTCACTGAGGAATTTATTGCACTTTCCTACGATGAACGAGGAATATTTCGTATCACTTTTAAGTTAATTAAATTTCCAAGTGAGCGGTTCGGTGGCCAAAGTGACTAACTCCGTAAATCAAAAAGTAGGGAATATTGATAAATTTATATACTTATATCGTTTTAGAAAATTTCATTAAATACATACCGCGTACCATTTATTTCTCTCCGTTTTTTTACTAATTTTTCGCTGTGACTTTCGAAATAGCAATAAAAAATATTGCCATCTCGCGATGATAAATAGAATTACCAACTTGAATTATTTTATTCACAAAAAAAAACTAATGTTCCTCGATACTGAATTGATAAAATTGCAAAAAGTCGAGTTAATCAGTTTGGCTTATAAGTCCCTCAAGTATAAAATCATCGAGTAAATCGTTGAATGGCGCTTAGAAAACACAGAGAAATTTCGTTTAATCTAAATTGAAAAGCAGAAATTTGGGTTTCGCTCGGTTAGATTTGCGTAACAAAGCTAGCCAAGGTGAAACGTGGAAATTAAAGGAATCGTCGAAGGTAGAAATGCTTCAAAGAGAGAACATGATCGAGTTTCACCGGAGCACTGATAAACAGAACATTACAGTTTTTTCTTGCTTGCGGTATAAAATTTATTTTAAAGGGACCAAGTGAAATCTTGGAAATTGAATTCTTGCCCTCTGAATCTTTACCGGAGAACGGCACAGAAGCGAACGACTGTATGGAAATACGGTTATCAAAAAAGTATCGAGTAACGTGCAACCTTTTGAATGTGGAAAGAACTCTATTAACAAGATCTTCTATTTTGTCGAACTGTAGGAATATGTAACCTTTTCGGTAGAAATACCAACGATAGCGGTGTTCGAATCGACTAAATCAATTCTACAAATTTCTTTCCTCTTACACAAATAGTTCGCGGGAACCTCGATCTCACGAATGTTTGGAGAACGATTTCATTTTTTTTTTTTGCAGAAAAAAAAATAAAGCGGTACTTTTAGAAATTTCCATTCCGATAGATCAATTCTAAATAAGAGGTTTTTTTTTATTTTGTTTAAATAGTAACGGTGTTTTGAAAAACGGTCTCAATTGAGGATTTCTGTACAGAAAGCTCGACTAAAATAACAGCGATAGTTTTGCTTCACAAATCTTCCATTTCATTTGACAATCTTTTAATAACAGATTTGACGGAGAAAAAAAAAACGGGCAGAACACTAAATCGCGAAATTTTCATCCCGACTGACAAATCCGGAATAAACGTTTAAACGTTGGAAAAAAAAAGAAGCAATAATAGTACTTTGCAAGATTTTCGTGCCGGTTGATAAACTGCGAACGAACATTTTTGGCGGTAAAGCTTTCATTCGATTTTCACCGGCGGAAAGTCGAAAACTGAAATTGCAATGAAATATCTACACTCTTGAATGATCGATTTGGAAACTAAAAAAAAATAGACGTGAAAGAGATCGTGAAGAACTTGACAAAGTTTTCTTTCGGAAGAGAAAAAAAGGAACGGAAAGTATTTCGAATAAATTGAGAAAAGAACGAAATGAAAATTATTTGGAATAAATTAGGATAAAAGAAGGGAAAGTATTTGGAACAAATTAGGGGAAAAAGCAGAACGAAAATTATTTGGAATAAATTAGAAAAAAAGGGCGGGAAAGTACTTATTTCGAATAAATTAGAAAAAAAGAAGAAGGGAATGTATTTCGAATAAATTAAAAAGAAAAAAAGGAAACATCTCTTTCTCTTGGTTCCAAAGAGGGAAACCATTTCTCTGTTCAGACAAATTCGCGCGTGCATGTTTCAGGCGCAGACTGAATGGCGACGAAGCAGATTACGAAAAGTGTATTATCGTCCCATTAACTCGGCCGCGTCGAAGTAATGGCCGGCGGCGTAACAATGTAATTAACCAAATACAAATGCGTCCAATAAAGAACGTACAAATTGCATCGACTTATTACGCGCAGACGCGTTATGACTTCGCGATACTCGTTGCATACACCAACGCTCAAAAGTTTCGCCGCGTCTGTTCGCGAGTCGGCTGATTTTAATGCTTCGTGCACCGTTTTGTAAACCGTCTACTTTTCTTTTATGTACATTCATCACGAATACGAATCCTCTGATTCCACCCAATTCAATCTCCCTACGACATACGATGTATTGAACGAGCTGTTTCAACTTTTAAGGGATCTTCCTACTCTGACTACTGAAAAACGCTTAATTCTTCAGGAATTTAAAACAAAGCAACTGCTACACGTATCCTTCTGCAAATTTGTAGGTTTATTCTATCATCCTTTGAGAACAGAAAAATATTTTTTATAAGTGAAAATATCCTTTTGTTGTGAAATAGGACCACCGTGAAGAGAGCGCTACGGAAAAATATCATTCCTAATGGCTGAAATGATGTATCAGACGTTATAGTTATCCAAAATGCAAAATGCGAACATATTCTTAGTCTGTAGACGTGTGGCTGTCGTCTGAACTAGAATGATAAAAAAATATTGAGAAACAAGGAATTGGCAGGGTTTCAAGAAAATTGCTTTCGATTTTAGAAAACAAAAATGATGGTTTTTTTGACCGCAATGACTGAATTTTGAAAATATTTGCACAATTTTGGTTCAGTCGATGAAGCAACATCTACTGAATATACCTGACAAATTTCGAGTGGATCGGACTTCTGGTCTTTTGCCAATCGTGTCAGAAAGTTGCAAAAATGCTGTTTCGAGAAAAACGCGTTTGAAGTTTTAACTACAGTTTAAGACTATATAAAAAACGATATATTATATTTGCAGCTAATCTGCTATTGAAGGACCATACAGTACACCTTCCTTTTCCTTCTAAAAATAATTCAAGACCAAATTTTCATTTTTGCGAGTGATCCTTGCCTTTTTTCACTCTGCAGGGTGCCTCTTTTCGGCGACGAAAATCCGGCCATTGCGAAATTCGAAGCAGTGCGACCAATCACTATGCCCATCGTCTCGAAAATTTTGAGAATACCCGAGTAGCTTTAATTAACCTCTACGTCAATAACCAGGTACCCTTTTGCATAATTCTCACTTAAAATATTTGTTCTTCCAGGTAAAAGATTGAAATATCCGGCCAGATCGTTGTTGTTTCGCACATTTCCTATCTGTGTTTGCCTCAAGTTTACAATTTTCTTATCGGAAAGCTACTAAAATTGGACGATAAAGTAGACGACAATTCTGGTTATTGACGTAAAGGTTAAAACTAGTAGCTGCATTTAAGAAATTAGCAAATTCTTTTGTTTTTTCTTCACAATGAAACTACTTCGGTGCTAAATGCCATAGCGTTGTCTAAACATTTTCTTTATACCAATAATCTCCATTTTTTTTTTTTTTGACACACTTTGCAAACCACTAATTCACTGATAGCAGAAAATACAGTGACAAATTTTAAGAACGCTCGAATTTCTGCATATCTGTTCACGCTCGGACGCGCCGCTTCCTTTGAAGGTGAATACCTCTGCTAATTTTGAGAATTCAGCTTGGAAACTTCCTGGACATATTTTCGAGATGTTAAACTACCAGAGAAAATACGAAATCGTCACGTTAGTAAGACCCCTTAAAAGATCAGGCTAATTAGCTTTATAAATACGTATCTCTTGGGATTGTAGCGATTATATCTGCTTCGCAATAATTTGGAATTTTTAATTACCAAAGTTCCAGGAATTTCACTTGTTACGTTATGCTCTTTCAACGATGTACATATTTGCGCGTTTGGAGGATTATAAAGCGGAAAAAAAATTAACAGTGTGGATTAAAAAATTGTTAAGGTATCAGTTTGATAGGATTGCAGAGGGAGATACATTTTTTTACAATTAATGTTTCAAAATTCGTTGCTACACTTCCTGTTTTTTAATCATTTCTATACAATGTCCCGTCATTTTTCTTCAGAATGTGTAAAAAATATAAATGCTCCAAGCTTATACTCAAATTTGATAAATTTCGGAAATTGTAAAGTTTCAGTGAATGTGACTTAATGCAATAAAACTCCGAGGTGGCATAAATTCGAGAAATCGTGAAATTTCAATAAAATTCGAAACGGCGAGAGCTACGTTGCAATTCCTTAAAAATAATCGATTTTTTGTAAGAAGTGTTTTTCCTTATTTTCGTTAATTTCTAGTTTGAACACTTGAAACGTCCCCGATCTAAACGAGCCTTAATTTCATTCTAAATTTAACTTCGAATCAATACAGACACACACACACACACACACGAGCACCGATCATTCTCGATTCTTCCATGGAGGCAGTGGTAACTTCCACAAATATCCATCTTGAACAACTGGTGTCCTTGTTTCACTTGTCTCCGCAGCCTCTCAATAGAATCGAGACCTGATCGTTCTGGTAAGCGAACCACCCCACCGATTCTTTCTTCCTTCCTATGATTCACATGTTAAGAAACGATCGAGCAGTTCTCTTCTTCCCTTTAATCGGGTATCCGTTTTGTTTTCGGTCGAGAAACAAATTTGTATTTCTATCGTGCTTGTGAATAACAGCAATCTTACATTTAGGTTCAATTTTGCAGAGGAAAAAGTTTGTACGTATTTTCTTTGTAAATATAATTCACAAAAATTTAACGTGTACTAATGTATTTGTGAATATATCTTGATGTACTTAATGTAAACCATTTTGACATTATTTGTAGTAAGAAAAGGTTCACAAAGGTTAATTTATAAGATAATTCGTGGCAATTTTTTTTTTTTGAAAAATGTAAGATAAATCGTTTTGAAATTCGTCACACAAGCCTGCTCGTATTTGAAATATTTAGTGATGCTGTTTCTTAGTATTACTTTGTTAAAGAAAAACACTTTTGAAAACAGCCTTAGTAACGCCTTTCATTAATTTTTTTTCGACGATGTGTGTATTTTCATTTGCTTAGAATGAGCGGTAAAATTGTTGTGCATATAGTGATACTTATTTTATTAAGTATATTAAATTTCAGGGAAATTGCATTCTTTCGCAGAAAAAGATTGAAACACTCAGAAAACCAATTTTCAAAATTCTTTTATCTGTTAGTATTCTATAGTAAACAAAGTATTTTTCAAATCTTCTCATTTTCCATGATTTCTTTTAAATTCTCTCTTGTTGCACAATTTCTTTCGAATTTTCCACGATTTTCCATAGTCTTAAAATATTCAAGCACCCAGAAAACGACAACCATCAAGGTAAACAAATAATTTACAAAATTCGTTCATCTATTAATATTTTGTAATAATAAAAATATTTTCAAATTTCATTCTCCACGATTTCATTTAAATTCCTTCTTGTCGCACAATTTCTTCCGAATTCCCCCATTTTCCTCAATTTCCCGCGGATTCTGTCCTCTTCCTCTTCCATTTTTTTTTTTTTTTTTTTTTT